GGGTCTCAAGTCCATTGACAAAGTCACACATGATGGAACCTCGACTTAACGCTTGATAAAAACTTCAAGTCTTAAGTTCAATGAGTAAAGTACATAATATGAATGTAACTGCAAGTACTCAATTTGTCAATAATACCATCCCAAGTGGAAGAGTACTTGGTAACCATATGAAACAAAAAGGAGGATGAGTTTTACTCTTAATAGGTCCTATAACATATTTATGTTAAAGTGCTTAATGCGGTAGCACTTTTGATAGGATCTACCTATATGAGTGGAAGTGGTGCTGCTTCTAAGAGTTAGGGACTTGACTTTAACAGCACTCATGAAAAGGATATAAGACACATAGCCAGTTTTTGTGTCGGTGGATGCTGAATTCCTTTTTTGGAAAGCGTGAAGTCTTGTGAGTGACATGTGCCCAATTAGTCACTTAGAATCATTGGTTCAAAGCATTAGTCTACCATGCAATTCTGACTAATTTGCCAACACATGTTCATTAAGTGAAAGGTTCAAATCGTAAGATACCTTCATGTATGCATAAGATTTCCAAAACAATTGGTGGGCTATTCTATTTTGAAAATGGTGGAGGAATGTTGAAGAATTTTCAAAATATTTCCAAGATTTGGGTTTGAATCATAAAAAGTTGATTCGAAGCAATTGCATAGAATGCATTTGAGAAAGTGTAACTTTGGTTCGAATCATAATTATATGATTCGAACCATTTATGTAAAACTAGAATCCGAAAATTTACGATTTTGGTTCGAACCACATTTATCTGATTCGAACCATTTACGCAAGAATAAGAGATAAAATTCAAATAAGTTTTTGAAGAGAGTGAATAACTTTGAAAGGCAAGGAAACACGTGAGTTGGAATTCAAATCAAACCAAATGACTTTTAGAAGAGTTTCCAACGGATAAAAATTGAAAAGAAGTGTCTATTCCAACATATATCTTGCCCTATAAATATGGAGTTATCTCTTCTTCTCTGGTAAAGTCTTTTTGAACCCAAAAATATCTAAATAAAATAGCCTATTTTTGTATTACGATTGCTCGAGAAATCCTTATAAAAAAACTATTGTTTTGTCGCTTTCCAAATGATAGTTCAGTGGTTGATCTTGCTAGTGCAAAGGTGAGATCAACAAGACGCTTCATTGTATCCTATGGTCATTTCGAGTTACCCCTTTTGCATACCAAATTTGGTGGGTGCAAAATTAGCCTAAAGGAAAGTGGCATTTGTAGTACGCTTTGAAGCCAATAATCTAATGATCTCATTTCTAACCCCTTATTTCTCCAACACAGTTTCGTGTCAAGATCGTATTCGTTTCAACTGGATACAAGCACACCAAATACCAAACATGAGATAGGTGATATTGTTATGTTTTTTGCCTTTCACATTCTGTTCTCCACTTTTGAATTTTCAAGAACTAAGAATTTAAGATGCTAATTTCACCAGGCAGAGGAAGGACAGAGAAAGTGGCGTGGATCAGTGGGAGTTATAGTTGATGCACCCATTGAGAAAGTCCGGGATTTTGTTTCTCAAACAAAAAGACAACCAGAATGGATGCCAATGGTTGAGAAATGCAGAGACTTATCAGGAGAAGAAGGCATACCTGGCTACATCAGGCTAGTTTCTGGCTTCATGTTCCCTCACCAAGATGGAGAAAGGTCATGGATCAAAGTGAGGTTGGTGTCAATGGACTCATCATCACACAGTTATGTCTACAAAATGGAATCAAGCAATATGGGATTAGACGGCTCTATGAATTCATTAAAGCTAGCAGATTATGGGGATGATTCTACACTAGTTGAGTGGGCATTTGAGATAGAACCCCTAAAAGATACATCCAAGGATAGCACCATAGATTACTTGGGATTTCTCTATAAATCCTGCATTAATAGGATTCAAGGTTCTATAGAGGCTGCATCCAGAATAGTATGAGCATCAAGCTTATTGAAACCTCGTTATCCATACAAACACTATGTAAAAGCATAGTCATGTGAATTTATATGCATGCCTGTATCCACTGCTTTCAACGAGAAAAATGTGAAAAGGAGGAAATTTGCTATTCCCTGAAAGGTCTCCAGGACAGCTGACCGTACCACTGATTCTACATTCCATGAAAAAGATTTATCAACCCAAAAAAACTCCGTACCATCTCAAACACTGACCATTAGCCACCACCATTGCTGTCTTCTACAGTGTATAAATGTACATTATCTTTTCCCGGAGTGATTGAGAATAGAAAGCTCAAGCTACCAAAAAAAAGAAAAAACAAAAAGAAAACCTGTATAATGAATTTATGGGAGGCAACGTGGACTTTCATGTTAAAATCAGGCCAACAGAAACTGTATGCCAGCACTACTTTACTACTTTTATCAGGAGAGCTTCTTATCTCATAAAATTTTTATTAAAAAAATAATTAAAAAATATTATATAAAAAGTTACTTAATTTTATAATAAATTTTTATTAAAATTTTGTTAAATTATTAATTTTATTATGTTTAGTAAGAAATTAATTAGAAAAAATTAATTTAAAAAATTACTATAGACTTAATATAAAAAATAATTATAATTTTTTTTTTCAAAATACATGATTAAAAAAACTTTATGAATTAAAAAATATGTCAAGAAAAATAAAAAATAAAAATATTATTTTTATTTTTTATAATATTAATATATAAATCTAAAACAATTTATTAAGAAAAATTAGTTGCCCGAACCAAACACAGGTAAAGTTTTGGTCCGAAGGCAAGTTTGTAATCATAATTTTGGGCTATTAATATGAAAGGCAGCAATGTGCAAGTAGAAAAGCAGGAAGATTCTTTATCATCCCGTGAGGGAAAGGATGCGAGGAGAAGGAAGGCTTAGAATAAAGTAATTCAGACTGAATAATACCTTCTTCTTCTTTTTTTTTTTTTTTCTAGTATTATTGTGTCTAAAATTATGTGATTCGATTTTGAGTCCTTTCTTTTTGCTTTAACTTTTGTGAGGTAAAGGAAAAGAGGACAAAAATGATGATGTTTTAAAAGATATATATATTTTTTTATTTTAAAAGTTTTCCCTTTGCAAGATTATGATGATCACTTTACGAAATAAATGAAAATGTTTTACAAATTACTCGGTACATTAAAATGTACAATATGATATTATTAGATTTTTTTT